CTCTCTCTCTCTCTCTCTCTCTCTCTCTCTCTCTCTCTCTCTCTGTCACCTGAGTTCCAAAGTAACAGAGCTAAACACATAGCCTGAACCTCTGAGACCATGAGCTAAGATAAACTTTCCCCCTTTGAGCTGATTTTCTCAGGTATATTGCCAGTCGTGGAAAACCTGACAAACGTATCATCTAAAATAATTAAAATAGTATTTACAAATTTAAACTTAGATCAAAATTATTCTTTTAAACACCAAAATAGGGGCTTGAGAAACACCTCAGCAGTTAAGAGCACTGGTTGCTCTTTCAAAGACCCAAGTTCAATTCCCAGCACACACAGGACAGCTCACAACTGTCTGTAACTCCAGCTCTAGGGGATTTTACACCCTTACACAGAGTGACATGAAGACACAATGCACATAAAATACAAATAAATAATAAATCGTTTAAAATAAATAATAAGGGACTGGAGAAATGGCTCAGTGGTTAAGAGCACTAACTGCTCTTCCAGAGGTCCTGAGTTCAATTCCCAGGAACCAATAGTGGTTCACAACCACCTGTAATGGGATCCAATGCCCTCTTCTGGTGTGTCTGAAGAGAGCTACAGTGTACTCAGGTACCTAAAATAAATAAATCTTAATAAACAAACAAACAAACAAACAAGAAAATAACAAATGCTTTTTGGGGGCCAGGGATGTGGCTCATTGGAATTAATCTGGTAAAACCTTGAAATTTGGTCAGACAAAAATAGACTTTCTAGCTTCTTCCTTATCCCTGCCCAGTCCAAAGCATGTACTTCAGAGGAGTCCCAAGGTTTCTATTTGTGTAGCGCTCAGAGAATAAATATTCCCTGGAAGCTGTATTAGAGGGACTGCCGGACAGAGCCAGGCCACAAGAAGTCTCTTAATTCAAAGAGGTCGCGTCAAAAGGAAGACCTGTACCTGTCTCTCCATCATCCTGTCCCATCATTATATCTACAACACGATTTTTAGCATTAATAATGCATATGGTACATCAAATAATTGCTAGCTCTTTGGGGCAGAAACCATCTAAATCATAGTTTTAAATTTTTTTTATTACTTATTTAAAATAAAGTTTTTTCTTTTTTTTTTTTTTTTGAAACAAGGTATTACTCTGTGGGCCAAGCTGGCCTCAAACACCTGTCTCTTGTCTCAGCCTCCCAAGTGCTGGGATCACAGGTCTGTACAACCACCACACGCTACTCAGTTAAGTCATGTTCGAATCTCCTTCCCCTAGCATTGGTCTAGACAGGAATGATCAGTAGCAATTCAGTGGATAAGAATCCCTAACACAGCTGGAGATGTTTATTAGCTACCCAAACTGGCTAGTTTAAGGTCAACTTGACACAAGATGGAATCATCAGAGAAGGAGGAGAGACAACTGAGAAAAGGTCTCCATGAGATCAGGCTGTAGGCAAGCCTGTAGGGCAGGCTTTCTTAGTTAACGGTGATGTGAGAGAACACAACTCATTGAAGGTTGGATTGTGGGTACATCCCTGGGCTGTGGTCCTCATTCTATAAGAAAGCAGGCTGAGTGCCCCAGCCCTCGGGTATTCGAAGAGACCCTAGGGAAGGAGGCGAAAGAATGAAGGGACAAGAGACTCGAAGAAGGAGAGCAAGTCTGGGGTTCTGATCAAGCTCTGCAATTTCAGTTTCAGGAGGCAGGTTATAAAGACATAGCAAAACGGGAAGTTTAGGCAAGGGTCACTGCTTAGGGCTATCCCACTATTGAATCCTCATTGTGTAAGACCACTGTCATATCTTCATTGCCCAAGACCATCCCACTGCCGTATCTGGCTCCCAGGAAATGCCAGACATTCTTTAAGTTCCTGGGACCTGAGACCGCGAATGTTCTTTCTTAATGTTGTACTGACTAGGCTTTCCAGAACAGCAGGTGATTTCCTGAGATTCTCTTAGAACAGCAGGTAATTTCCTGGATTTGGCTCCATCCGGCAGCTGAATAAGCCATGAGGAACAAGGTGTTAAACTCCACTCTGGTCCCAGCATCGGCTCCAGCCTAGAGGTTCCTGCCCTGCTTGAGTTCCTGTCCTGACTCCCTGTGATGAGGAGACAAGCTGAATAAACCCTTCCCTCCCCTAGTTGATTTGGTCATGGTATTTCATCACAGCAATAGTAACTCTAAGACACTATCTTAGCAAGCAGAGTCCTCAGGTCAGGGAATCTGAGGATGCTGACACACCATCCCTTTGGTCGGATGAATGAAAGAGCTGGTGTGGCTCGGTGTGCACGCTGGAGCAGAGTGATGTAAGACAGTAGTGAGGTTTAGGGGGGTTAGTAAACCGAAATATTTGGAGAATGAGGAGCAGCACAGGCTTAAAGTGCAACCTGCAGGGAAAGTAATCTCTGAGCGAGGGAGATCTGTAGCTTGAGACGCTTTGGGTGACTTATCTGACAAGTTATTACGTTGTAAAATAGTGGTATTTGGGGGCAGCATGCATAACTTTCTGAATTAGTAACCTAATATATAGTTTAGGAAAACTAATGTTGAACATCTTTTCAACTTTCTTAATTCCATCAGATACTTAAATTTGTTATCTAATCCCACAAATCCATACTGCTAGCCAGTCTATAGCTAGGTAAGCTGAGGCTCACAGTGTGAAAACCTTCCTCCAGCTTCCCTAGAAATGAGAGAATCCAGATAGAGCCTAGATTTTAAAAATGCTGAGATTGTGCCCAATCGATACGTGTTCTCTTGATAAGCCTTCAAATTATCTGTGGCATCCTAAACAAAACAAAGCTGTTCTCATCCCTCTAAACACTCTGCATTGTTTCCATGGTTACCATACCGCAGGCTTTTTACACTTGGGTGAGCGATTGTGTGTTTGCTGACTCACATGCTTTATGAACTGATGTGTAAGCTTTCAATACTAGTTTTTCCTCTATCACGAATTCCTGCAGGAGGTAAAAGAAATTCTGACTTTTATATTTCTGAATTGTATTTCGTTGGATTTTCTTTTTTTTTTTTCTTTTTTTTTTCTTTGTTTTTTCGAGACAGAGTTTCTCTGTGTAGCCCTCCCTGGCTGTCCTGGAACTCACTCTGTAGACCAGGCTGGCCTCGACAGAAATCCGCCTGCCTCTGCCTCCCAAGTGCTGGGACTAAAGGCGTGCACCACCACCGCGCAGCTCGTTGGATTTCCTTAAAAAGCAAAAGATACTCTTCCGGAAAAAAAGTTATCTGAGCTGGGCATAGCGGCTCACACCTTTAGTCCCAGCATCCTGAGGCAGAGGCGGGGCGGGGGCGGGGGCGGGGCCAGGAAGGGGAAGAGGCAGATGGATCTCTGTGAGTTTGAAGCCAATCTGGTCTGTACAGTGAGTTCCAGGACAGCCAGAGCTACACAATGCGACTCTGGTCTTGTTTTTTTGTTGTTGTTTTGTTTTGTTTTGTTGACAGATATCTCAATAGTCCTCTGTGTGAAATATGAAGGTAATTTTTTTCCTCTGGAAATGGGATCATGCGATATTACTTAAGTTGGTCCCAAATTCCTAGCTTTAAAATTCCAGTGAGCTCCTAGCACGCCTCTTCATGGAAGCATGGACCATTGTCCTCAGGAGCACCAGGCGCAGAATGAGTGGTCAAGAAATGAAGTTGCAGTGAATGGAAGGCAGACGAAGCTCACAGTTTTATACATGTACCTTATGTAATCCCAGTCCTGTCCTATCATCTGCCATATGACTTAGCGAGTATCTTTGTTTCATTTTTACAGGTGACATAATATCTTACTGATAATTAAAACCAAGGTCGAGTCATTCATCCAAGGACACCAGGTTAGGAAATAAGTGGTCTCTGGCTCAAGATTTCCTCTGTTAACCAGGGTTCTGAGAACAGAATGGAGCTGAGGTGGCAGAGCTCAGAAAATTCTATCACCAGGGCAACAGTCCAGTGGGCTGATCCTCACTGTGGACTTCAGACAGGCTTTGGGTTGGTGTTATTAAAGGTAATTTGTAATTGATGTACCTGTAGGAATGATAATGCTGTTTCTCTCTGTATATAGTCAACTCATGCTATTATGGTAGTTGTATTCATAAAAAACACTGTAAACACTGGACTAGCAAACCCCAGTCTCTTACATGATTAAGCTCCTATAAGCTTTGGTCAGCCAGTCAGTGTGTGCAAACTGTATGTTTGTAGTTTGTTGTTATTTTGATGTGGGATCGTACTGTATTGCCCAGTCTGTTCTTGAACTGCTGGGCTCAGATGATCTTCCTGACTCAGCCTCCTGGGGGTCATCAGGACACTAAACCTTTGTGCTTCTCTGTGTGCTTGGCTATGGGAGCCACAAAGATTGACCTGGGCTAGCAGATCTTAATGAAGCTAAATAAGATATGGTAAAATATGGACTTTACAAATAAAGTCTGCTGTACCCATCCTCCTGTCTTCAAGTATCTTCAGTATCACAGATTACACATATAGCGTCTAAAACACTGTGAAAATGAGCTGTGGAAACTGACCCATCCCTGTGCCAGTCACACAGAGGGCCACTTTTCTAGGCTAGCAGACTGTGCAGACTGGTGCTCACCAGGGCCTCAGACATGGCTATGTTCTCTGCTCTCAACCTCCTGAAAAGTCTCAACTGATTTTTAACAACAAGATTCGGGCACTTTTGGCATCATTGGATTTCACCATTCTCATCAAAACACATGTAAAAGAGATTAGTACTGGGGGGACCAAGATATGCTGTTTACTTATCAGATAGAGTAAACCCTTTCTTTCAAGTGCCTAATTATATGATAGATAGGTGTCCATTTGTTGGGGCGGCAATAGTAAACTCTTCGTAAGTGTCAGCTCATTTAGTCTGTATGATACTCTGACCTGGGTAATATTTTCACTGACTATGCCAGGAAATTATGGTAACTTTAGCTATGCACACAGTAGGTAGCATAGCAAGCACATAAACCCAAATGACCAGAAACCCATGGTTTTACCACTAGACTCTACAGCTGAGTGTTGGGCTCTAACTTGTAGGTGATATGAAAGTTTTGATTTTATGATCTCAGTGAACATTTGCACTGTGGTATATCTTTTGCAGTAGATTTATAAAATGGGCTTTTAACAAAATATGAATCCTATCACCATTTGTGTTTGATGTGTATGTATCTAGAGGATAGTGAAACTGTTAAGCCAGGCTGAGAATGTTAGTCAGCGGTATAGTTCTTACCTCAAACATGCAATTCCCAGTATCCCCAAAATGTATTAAAGGAGATAGAATTTAGAGTTTAATTTCTTATGAATTAGCATCTTTAGTAAGAGAAAATTTGCTGATTAATGAGGTATTTGAGCTAACTGTAAGCTTATCCATAATCTTGTTTGTTTAGTTTTGTGTTTTTAATTTTTAATTTAGGGTCTCTCTACATAGCTCTGGCTGTCCTGGAACTCACTATGTAGACCAAGCTGGCCTTAAATGCGCAGAGATTCCCCTACCTCTGCCTCCCTAGTGCAGGATATATGCCATCACACCCAGGTCAGTTGTTCTTGATAGTTTTTATGTCACATTATTGATTGGTACTTAGAGTGGTCGATTTTACTAAAGCAACTCAAAATACTCATTGTTAATTATTCTACGAGACATTTTAAATTCCTTTAACTAAAAATTGCCAAATCCAATTTTGAGTGGATTTTTCTTTTCTTCTGCAATAGATATCTAAAGAGATCTACTTAAGTCACTTAACTACCAACAAACTATTTTAGGTAGCTTATATATTACCTTTTATATGTGTTTTTATTATTGTTTTGCTTTCTGAAGCAAGGACTCACTCTAGCTCGTGCTGGCCCAGAACTTACTCTGTAACCCAGGCTGGCCTTGAACTCAATGCAATCCTTCTACCTCAGTCTCCTGAAGGCTGAGATAACAGGTGTGAGCATCAGGTTCGATTGCTTCTTAATGGGCCCCTTCGTTATATTGTGTTTAATCCGTGGTAGATATTGTAAAAGATACAGCTCTAAGCTCACAGATTTCTCAAAGTGGATAGATAAAATGGCAAAGGTGAGTCAGTCAGGGAGATAGAAACATACCCTGCTGGTGGGACCATCACAGATAGGTCACCAGCTAACATGGCAGGAAAATACAACACGAATTGTTGGACATTGCTGAATTTTGCAGTATTTGGGGGGCAATAATGACCTGAGTTGGTTCTGAACCATGTTTTAGAACATGGTCTTGCAGAAGGAGAAAGTCCTGGTAAATGTGGGTACGAGGTGAAGCTGTCTTCTGAGTCGGACAGAAGACTTATAAGCATGCTCTATGTGTTGGCAGGACGGCAAGCATCAGCTAGCAACTAGTGTGTTAATACAATGACATCCATGAACAAAGGCAATGAAGCGAAGAGACCGGCAGGGAGCAGGAGGCAGCTCCTAGAAGAGCTGAACGAGAAGCGTGAGTCCTACTGTCTGGTGGAAAGAAGCAACCAGGTCAGCCAGCTAAGAGTTCAGAAGAGGCACTTCAGCCAGGCCTACCAGGCCTTAGCTTGCATGCATATCAAAGAACACGTTCCCGAAAGTGACAGGACCTCCTGGATCAAGCAGGATCTCTTTGTGCACAAGGAGAAAAGGCACTTCCTGCCAAAAAGTAAGATAATATGGTGAGACTCCTACCTGCCTATAGGAAGGATAAGTAGAGAGAGACTCAACAGACTTTCTGGGTCGAAAGTGGTTCCAAGGTCTCGCCCTTGGGAGACCTTGAAGGTCTTTGAAGGTGATGATGAAGGCAAAAGTAGATTACTTGGTTTAAGGCCCACCATAGACCAGAGATTCGTTTTCTTGAGTCTTTAGGAACTCAAGCCCCACCACAGGCCAGGTGGTTCAGCAGTTAGGTGTTTGGGCACTGCAGTCTGCACTCCAGCAGACTGAGGTGGCTCTTAGCTGCTGATAGTCTGATAATTCCACTTGAGAGTTGCATTCAGATACCTCCTGTCTCAGGATTCCTGTGCTTTACAGAGTTTTATGTTCAAAATGAAAATAAAATGGAGTTTTAATAACAAATATGACATACAATGCCACGAGAAGCTGTAATAGAAATATGAGGGAAGTGGGCCGGGGGAGGGGAGTGGGAAGGGGAAGGGGAGTGGGTGGGGGGAGAGGAGTGGGATATGGGAGGAGAGTGGTTGTTTTGATATTGCTTAAAGTATGGATTGTGAATATCTGTTATGTAGTCAAGGCAGGCAACTGATAATGTTTTCTCATTTATTTGGAGAGAGTGTGCATATGTACTTATATTCAATATAGCCAATATATTATTAATTTAGTTTACAAAGAATGACCCACATTGGCCTTTATGTAGCTCTGCTTTTGCTTTTGCTTTTGGCCAGTGACCTTAGGCAGTGATATAGAGAGGCAGTATAGTGTGACATGGAAAGACCAGACACTGCATTGTGATTGTAAGTTAATCTGTAACAATTGTGTTTATGAAAACAAACACTAGCCATCTTTACAAAAAGGAATGCTTTGACATTCCTAGTTATAAAAGAAATACTACAGTCCTTCATTCTGCTAAAATTATTGAGACCAATCGTGTGTCCGTTCTCAGGACTTTGATGATGGAGAGGAAATCCACCTCTGAACAAACATAGGCTACAACTTTAAGGAACATTCATAGTTTCATACAATGCAAAATCTAACACATCTAACCCTATAACTAACTTTCGTAGTGTCAAACTGTAAATCAATAACCCCCAAATAACACCCAAATACATTAGAAAGCCCCTTGCTTTTGATTCAAGTTTTGATCATCTGAGAAATAAGATGGAGATAAAAATATTGGCTTTGTTATTGAAAAAAAACTAAATCTTTACTGGAGAAACTCACTGAGAGCAGTCAGGTAGCTACCTCTTGTTGACCTAAAGAGTGACTACCTGTTCCCAGCACAGGTTGGAGATCTGCTGCTCTAGTCTGAGAACAAATGAGAGCCAGAGCCCTGGAGGCCAGCTGGAGCAGAGAAAAATCTCATTTGTTAAATTAGGAGCTGGGACATTATGGTTCAAGAAAGATATTCATTTGGTAGGTTTCAACACTTACCATGTTAGACACAACATCTGCTACAAAGTAACAACCTCTTTTCAGGAGACAATGGTCCCCTATGCTCTAAATATTGAAGTATGAGGAGGTACAACTCAGGCCCTCCTGGGCCGCTCTAAGACAGCCTCACGCAGGCAGCTGGTAGACTTAGTTACTTTCTGTTACCGTGGTAGGGAACTATGACCAAGGCATCTTAGAGACCAAAGAGTTTGAGGTGCAGTTCCAGAGGGTTAGTGACCATAATGGCAGGGCAGAGCAGCAGCAGGCATGGTGGATGCTGAGAGCTCACATCTTAACTTGGAGCACAAGGCAGAGAGCTCTCTGCAAGCACAGTTAAATGTTAACTCCTCTAAACTCACTCCCAGGACACACTTCCGGCAAGACCACACCCTCAACTTCCTCAAACAACACCATGATCCGAGGACCGAGTGTTCCAATGCCTATGGGGAAGTTCTCATTCAAACTTAACTCCTAGGGGACTTACATTTCATCTCTTTTCTGATAACCCCACATTTTAGTATCTGACCTCTCTTCTGACCTTCGGCTATGCATACAGTCACACTGTCACTTCCCTTGAAGTCATCTGCGGTTTAGTATTGTGGAGACAAAATCCCTGTTACCAACCACATCTCTTACCATCACCCAGCCTCACCTTCCTGACCTGGGAAGGTGGCCAAAGACCCGTGTGGAACTCTGGTCCTCACACCTCTTACTCACTGTGTCAGCAAGTTCTGAATCTGAGCCCTGCCATGGCCTTGGCCCAGCCTGTAGTCACTGAAGTGGATCTGGAGCCTCAGGCTACCCACTCGGCACACTTCAGCTCCCACATTTACCTCACAGGACAGCCTGAGTGAACTGATGAGAACATGTGTTATGTCACCTGCTACACAAAACTCATCTGTGGCTGCCCACCACACTGGGGATGAAACTCACATGCCCAGTCCGTGCTGCATGATTCTCTATACAGGCCCGGCCTGTCTTTGTACGATGTCCTCTGCTCACCCGGACTCCTGGGCTTTGCGTTCTTCCTCTTCTGGGACATGTCAGGTTGGCTCCTACCTTGGAAACTTGGGTCTTCTCCTGTCTCTCTCTGTCTCTGTCTGTCTGTCTTTCTCTTTCTCTCTCTCTTTCTGTCTGAAATGTGTAGTGACTACAGTTAATCCCAGCACGAGAAAGGACAAGCCAAAGAGTCATGATCCTCTCTGCCCTTCACGTTATTCTAGAAATTGTGCAATAGATTAGATTACCTACATGCATTTCTTTCTGATGTTTTGATTATGAGCCTAGCCTTTAACAGCTGAGTCAGCTCACCAGCCCAATGAATGTATTTTTTATCTTTCAGATAATGCCATATTTGGATAAAGTACGTCTCCAGAGACACACAAATAAACTCTCTTCCATCAGTCTTCAATGTCTGTGAATTATTTAGAAACAGTAACTATAAAAGAAACTGGCCCGGTGTCATGGTGAACCCCAGAACTTAGGGACAGTGAATTCCAGGCCAGGCTGGGCTATGTCTCAGGACCTTGTCCCTAAAAGGCTGGGGATGTGTAATAAAATAAGATTAGCACTAAGTTTTCATTTCCCAACAATAGATACTTAGCTTCAAGAACCTTGACCATGGGCATTGATTGGAACACGAGACCCTTGGTTCAGAGCTGGACCTCAGGTTCCAGCTGTAGGAAACCTACTCTCTTGCTCTGTAGCCCACTGCCTCAGGACTCTCAGAGCTTGGCAAAGCTGCCAGGTAGATACACACAGGCTTAGGCTGCCCAGCGGAGGATCTCTGCCAAGCATTATTGACCTAGCCTTTGCCTGTTAGGAGATATTATCTTTATTATGTGACGTAACCAGGCCTACCTCTGCTCCAGAGGGAGTTCTTATCTCTGTCTTCTGAGGTGCTCACTCAGCCCCAAGACTATCAGGGCCTCTGTTCCCTGGCTGGACAGAAACAAGGGACTGGATCCATAGAGTTTATATCCTAAGCAGCCCAACTAGAGATGCCAAGCCTGGGTAAGATTTAGGAATGAGCACAGAGCAATGAGTGTCAGGTTACACACAGAGGTCACCTCCCATCAACCTGCTTTCCCTGACCCCATCCTGATGGTATGCCCCTGCCTTCGTACAACTGGGTGCAGTTCTCCAAACTTGCCTTTGTCTCTCAGCTCCCTTCCCTGCCTGTGATTTAAACCATCTCCTCCATTCCTTCCTGCAGCCCTGCCCACTAGACATTTCTACTTTTCCCTGTATACCCTAGAGCAGGCTGAAGCTAAAGCCAGAAACTCATAAGTACAGTTGTATCTGGACTCTGACCCTACCTGAAACAGCAGGCATGGAGCCTCTCATCTCCCAGGAGTTGGCATATGGTAACACTTTTCTTTTCTGCTCTGGCTTTCTGCAGTGTGCACTCATGTGCACACAGGATTCCTACTGCTTTCCTGGTCCTCTGGAGAGAACATTAGTGTGGCAGCACTGCCCTTGTAGCCATAGACAGCCGACACTTCCCCCCCTAAGCTCCTACAAATATCCATGCCCTTCCTCAGCACTGCAGTGTGCCGGGAGAGATGGGGTGGCAGAACTAGAGGCAGATCAGAACCAACAAACCTTGACCTTCTGAGTGGGCCTCTGAACAACAAAGGCCTGGGTCAAGGTGAGGGCTGGGTTTCAACTCAGCGTGAGTGGAGCAGAGACCAGTGTGGTGTGAACCTGCCGTATCTCTCAGAGATTTTGCTGAAAGAGTTCTTTCATATTATGGCCGCCTTTGTAAGGTGCTTCTTTCTCCATTGACCGTGAGGCAGGCAACAGAGAACAGCCTGGACCTCAGACATTGTCAATAGGCTGGAGTGTTGGGATGCCTTTAATCTCAGCACTCAGTAGGCAGAGGCAGGGGCATGTTTGTTAGTTCAAGGCCAGCTTGGTTACTGTACATAGTGAGTTCCAGGCCAGACAGGCTTACTGGGGTTGGGAGTGAGGGGCAGGAATGAAAAAAAAAAAACAGTTACTGTGGGCATATTGGGAAGAAGTCAAGGCCATCACTATGGTACTTGCATGGCCTTTAGATTTAAACAGAGGGGGATTGTATGTGTAACTAAGTTCTCACCCATCACTGTCTAGACTATGCTGTCCTGTAAGGTGATCTGATCGGTTGCTAGAACTGTGTAATCTCTTCTTGGCAGACAAAGTCCTTCTCTAGCTGGCACCAGACTAAAGCTTTTCTTTCCCATGAGGGAGATTCCAACCCCTGAGGCCCATTGATTTTAATAATCTGATAGCCAACAGGAGAGGTGCAGGTGTCTCTTCAGAACAATGGAGGGTCTTGGATGTAGGTAGGTTCAAGGGGACAGATGGCTGGGATATTAATGCCATGGATAGACGACAGCATGGCGGGAAGTTTAGATAACATAGTAGGGAGTCTGAAGAGAGGAATTAGGACTCCTGTCGCAGAAGTGGGAGTCTTTTCTTACACCTTTCTGAGGACAGTGAAGGTTTCCCCGGCACAAGCTGGCTGCTGGGCTCTCTGATTCCCAGGCAGAGGCAGGGAAGAGTGGGAGCAGGCTACCAATACCCGTGATGTAACTCACTCCCCTAGATGAGAACCTGGGATGTAGTTCCGAGATCTAGTCTGTTGGTGAGAGAGACACGGTGTTTTCTGTAGGATGCCTGTCAGTGTCCGTGAGAGGGGAGAGCTGCTGAGTGAGACACTGTGACCAGAGCAGCAGATGGAGTGTAGCATTGTTCTTAAAAATACCGTCACTATTGCCAAGATGTGAGGGCTAGTACAAATACCTCACCCACCCCTCTCAAGTCACCCCTATCTGGGGCAAAACTGTTGTATATGCTTTAACCCCAGAGCTCGGGCTTGCTAATGTCCAGAACCAACTAACAAGCTTGTGGACAAAAGGGCCCGTCTCTCTTCCCCTGTTATGGTCTCCATTAATGAAACCAGCCAAACATATCTCCTCACACAGTCAGAGGCCGGCTCAGTCCCTCAGAGGTATGTCTCTACTAGCCAGGCGCTGTGGTGTGAGGCTGCAGCAACGGCTGCATGCAGGAGGCTGAGCATTACTGAGCTTAGGAGTTTGGGGCTAGCCTAAGCAACATAGTGAGGTTTGTCTCCTTCAGTGGGGCAGGAGATATCTCAGTACTCTCACAACTGCCGTTTCTGGCCAAGGATATTATAACCCATACAGGCCCACTGACCACCAAGTCTGAAGCATATCTGCCATGCACACACCATCTAGTAAGCACTCAAAGACAAAGACCCATGGAGCAGCTTCTATTAGCTAATTGGTAAGTGGGGGGAAGCGGGGGAGGGGCTGTCTTGAGGCTTTCTCCCCTCAAAGGCAGTAATTCCAGAAGCCGCTGTGTATGTTTCTCCAGTCTACTCCAGGCCTCAGCTATTGAAAGTAGCACACAGCCGGGCAGTGGTGGCGCACACCTTTAATCCCAGCCTTGGGAGGCAGAGGCAGGCGGATTTCTGAGTTCGAGGCCAGCCTGGTCTACAGAGTGAGTTCCAGGACAACCAGGGCTATACAGAGAACTCCTGTCTTGAAAAACCAAAAAAGAAAAAAAAAATCTAAAAAAAAAAAAAAAGAAAGTAGCACACAGTTATAGTCTGAATCCAGATTAATGTATATAGTCTGTATCCAAGCCAAATCATTCTTTTTCTAAAATAGTTCTTAGAAATCATTTTTATTTATGTTAAGTGTGTCTGTGTAGAGATATGCCACATGTGCTAGTGCCAGAGGAGGCCAGTGTTGAATCTTCTGAAGCTGGAGGAATTACAGGCAGTTGTGAACCATCCAACATGGCTGCTGGTAACTGAACATGAGTCCTTTGGAAGAGCAGCAACTGAGTGCTCTTAACGGCTCAGCCATCTCTTCAGCCCACATTTGTTTTTAAGAGGAACATTTCTGTAAAACTGTGACTGCTAGCCATATAAAATGGCTTCCTCCTTTCAGACCTCTAGAGTGAACCCTTGTTTTCCCCAGTGCTGCCCTGGGCTGACTTGGCTTGCAGGGGGTGATTCTGCAGCTATTTCTGGAGCAGGCTCTGAAGCTTGGGAAACAGTTTGAATGCATTCTGTGTCGTCACTTCTCGGACTTCTTCTACTGAGATCCCTTTCACCTGGGCAATGAACTCTGCTACGATGGAAATGTTGCAGGGTTCATTCCGTGTCTGGAAGAGAACAGAGCGAACACTTGGTGTGTAGATCCTTGGAGACTGTAGCTAGGACACACAAGCACACACACACAAGAATGAGCTGGTACAACACCCGGTGAGCTCCTTTCCTACTCTACGAAGGAGCTGACATTCCTTTATTAATGCTTTTAGAAATGGGGGGAGGGGATGAACTTGGCGGGTATAGGCGACTCCAAGTCTATGCTGTTCCAGGAAGAACTCAGAGGCATTTGCAGCCAAAGCCCTAAGCACCCAGCAGGTGAAGCAGTGTGCCAACTGAACCCAGGGAGAGCAGCTTGCCTGAAGGATTAACTGTCCTTGTTTGGTTGCATGCATGAGTGCTGGTAAAGGTCACTCCAGTCCGCTTGGCCCCTCACCTCAAAGGCTACCTTCCCAGTGTGGCTTCAAATGGCCCAAGGACTGGAAAGACTGCTCCGTTAGCTTCTACCAGCTTGCTGACCTTAAGACACAGCACTTTAATATCTGGGAAACAAATAAACATTCTGCTTACATTTAGTATTGTTTCTTTTTTCCTTTTTTTAAAAAATTATTTTATGTACATTGGTGTTTTGTCTGCATGTATATCTGTGTGAAGGTGTCAGATCCTGGAGGTACAGATAGCTGTGAGCTGCCATGTGGATGCTGGAATTGAACCCAGGTCCTCTTGGAAGAGCTGCCCGGGCTCTTGACCTCTGAGTCATCTCTCCAGCCCCCCTCAGTTGTGTTTCTTAAAAAAAATAACAATATTTCTGCAAATTAATAGCATTTAGAGTTAATGAAAAACAATTCTGTAATTATTAATAAGTGGCTTTGGGATAGTAATAAGAGGCATAAAATTATTAAAGCAAAAAACCCTTAATAATACAGGCTAAAAAAAATAAGAAGTGTTTTAAAGATTTACATTCAAGTCTGTTCATCACAGTGGTTAAAACTCAGACTGGCTGAGAATGGTGGAACACATCTGAATTCCCAGTACCTAGGAGGCAGAAGCAGGATGATCAGGAGTTTAAGGTCAAACCTGGCTATATTCTGAGTTAGAGGTCAGTCTGGCTTCATGGGACCTGTCTCAGAAACACACACCCACAACCCACACGCACACACACCCACACGTGGATGTGGGTACATATACACATTTATGACATACCAAGTTTTTTTTATTATTTTATGTGTATGTTTTGCCTGCATGTATGTGTGTGCACTGCATGCCTGACTGCTGGCTATGAAG